ATTTATGTTAAGAATAAGTTCAGTGTAACCGCTGTAGTTTCCAAATCTATCAGTAAGCAATTTGAATTTTTAGCCATAAATATAGAAGTGGCAAAGGGTCAACAGGTCATGGTCGTGGGCTGTTACAGACCCCCCTCAGCTGTCAAAGACTCCTTGTCTTCACTAGCAAATATTTTATCGCAACTAGACTACAAGGAAATAGTGCTACTTGGAGATTTTAACTGGGACTGGTTAACTGCAGTGTCAGAGGATTTTAAAAACCTTTGTATCTCTTTAAATGTTACTCAGATTGTTGACAGTCCTACTCGCCCTAATATTAAGTCCCCAAATAAATCCTCCCTAATTGATCTCATTTTAACTAATGTTCCCTATAAATACTCAGCTGTGGGAGTATTTGCAAATGATCTGAGTGACCACTGTGTTGTAGCCACAATTAGGGACACTAAGGTCCAAAAGGTTAAACCTCGTATTATCATCAAGAGAGACATCAAACATTTTGTGGAGCAGGGTTTTGTTCATGATCTGTTTGGGTTTGATTGGGGAAAAATCGATCTGTGTGCTGATGTGGAAACCGCATGGTCTTATTTTTATCTTGGTTTTATGGAAATTATAGATAGACATGCACCCCTGCGTACATTTAGAGTGAAGGGACGAGACAATCCTTGGTTTTCTGCTGAACTATCTAGTCTCCTACATGAGAGAAACAAGGCCTGGGCAAAGGCTAGGAATTCAGGCTCAGAGGTAGAATGGCTGCGTTTTAGGCAGCTAAGAAATAGCTTCACTTCACATGTCAAAAGTGCTAAACCTAAGTATTATCTGTCAGTAACCACAAAGAACCTGAACAACCCTAGAAAATTCTGGAAAGCCATAAAATCGATATCCACCGGTGATATCCGTAATGAGCTACCTCCGTGCCTTACCACAGTATCTGGCACTATATCGGATAGGACCACCATACTAAATTGTTTTAATGAGCATTTTGTGTCCTGTGGCTCTCTGTTTCATTCTGTTTCTAATTCTGCTTCTGTGAACACCACAGTCGGTGACTCAGAACAATGTGGTCTGGAAAACCCCTTCAGTTTTACTCCTTTTACTGTTGATGTTGTTCGTGAAGTCTTAACCAAGCTAGATCCTAAAAAGCCGGCTGGTCCGGACAACGTAGAACCTTTCTTTTTAAAGATAGCTGCAGATTGTATTGCTCCACCTCTTACTACTCTTTTTAACCTCTCCCTCAGCACGAACAAAATCCCAAAAGTATGGAAGTCAGCTTATGTCCTGCCACTACTAAAAGGAGGGGAGGCCACCTTATTAAACAATTATAGACCCATCTCTAAGTTGTCAGTTCTGGCCAAGGTTCTTGAACGCCTAGTGAGTGAACAGGTAAAGGAGTTTTTATGTACACATGACATCCTGTCTAAACATCAGTCAGGCTTCAGAAAGCAACATAGCACCATCACTGCCACAATGAAAGTGGTAAATGATATTACGAGTATTTTAGATAATAAGCAGAGTTGTGCAGCTCTATTTATTGACCTATCCAAAGCTTTTGATACCGTCGATCATTGCATTTTGAAGCAAAGGCTGGTCAGTATAGGCATGTCCAGCCATGCAGTGGGCTGGTTTGTGAACTACCTCTCTGAAAGATCCCAATGTGTTCAGTTTGATGGGCTGTCTTCTGAGTGGTTAAACATCACTAATGGTGTACCACAAGGTTCAGTTTTAGGTCCGCTATTATTCTCTATCTATATTAATAGTTTAGGTGAAAATGTCGAAGGAGCAACCTTACATTTTTATGCGGACGATACCGTTATGTACTGTGCAGGTCCCTCGATTAACGAGGCTGTTGTTAAATTACAGGCTGTTTTTAACATTATTCAGGCTCAGCTCTCTGAGCTTAAGCTTCTTTTAAATGTGGATAAAACCAAGGTAATGCTCTTTTCTAAAGCTAAAGCTAAAAATACACCAGAGACTGCTTTGGATGTTGTAACTACGCAAGAAATACAACTTGAAGTGGTTACCTGTTACAAATACTTGGGTATCTGGCTTGATGACTGTCTCACTTTTAAACTTCATGTCAATAACCTGCTTAAAAAGCTGAGGGTTAGGCTAGGTTTCTTTTACAGAAATAAGTCCTGTTTCTCGCTTGAGGCCAGGAAAAGGCTAGTCACTGTGACCTTTTTACCTGTGCTGGATTATGGTGATTTGTTATATATGAATGCACCTGCCAATTACCTGAGCAAGTTAGATGCTGCGTATCACAGTGCACTGAGATTTTTGACAAATTGTAAAGCACTTACGCTGTACCACTGTATCACTGTACCCTGTATACCAAGGCGGTTATGCCATCACTTACTGTACGGAGGCTCAGTCACTGGTACTTTTTCATTTACAAAGCCATGTTGGATAAACTACCATCTTATATCTGCTCCCTGATCTCTGCGAATTGAAAGTACTTATTGCCTGAGATCGCATGCTGTGGTTTTATTAAATGTGCCAAGTGCTAGGACTGTCTTAGGGAAGAAAGCTTTTAGATGTGCAGCTCCACTAACATGGAACAGTCTGCAAAAAGAATGGAAAATTACCAAGCTAGTACCACTACATGTTTTTAAAGCTCGGTTGGATGCTACAAAATCAGATGCTGTTGGTACCTGTACTTGTGGTTAAATATGTAAATTGTAATCCCTGTACATTTTGCTGTATGATGTCCTTTTGTTGTTCTGTTGTTTATGTCTTCTTGTGGAACCTACTGCTGCAGGTCTCCCTTGAAAAAGAGATCATTGATCTCAATGGGATTTTACCTGGATAAATAAAGGTTTTGAATTGAATTGATGTCATCGTGTTCAAAATGCTGCACTGAATGAATTAATCTGAACACGCTCTCCCCCCTCAGAAATAAGACGATGTGTTTGATTGGCTAGCGAGATGCGACACCTAAAATCCTGATTGGGACACATGTTCATTCACATGCTTAACCGAATACATTGCATTTAGACAGATCCATGATTTCTTATGACATGTTCCACTCATCTGATTCTAGTTTTCATTCCGTACTTGCAATCAATCTCCACAATGGCACTTATTTGACTTTTTATCATCGATTGCTATGGTTCTGTATAAAGTATTAAGGTTTTCTATTATACCCATAATTGATGCAATTCAACAGGTGGCTTAAACAATTGTTATAAGAGTAAGCAATATAAATTGTTTATCCCAAAAGGATGATGGTGACAGTAACTTATACTGAGTGTACTGTAATACCGGGCTGATTTTTAAACGATCATTGGACGTTTGTCAAGAGTATTGGTATACTTTATCAAATGACTTATTAGTTTGATTTCTTAAACAATCCTCTGATCTTCTGAAAAAGGGTGCGGATGCTGTGCATGAACACACTGCAGAGACTTCCTGTTCGAAACCACAAAGACGAAGCAAGCATAGGGTCCTAGAGAAATGCACGACCAGGGTATACTGAGAGCTCGTGTTTGATTGGTGACCACACAAGGCTAAAAAAAGATTCTTGCACGTTTTGGTATGTGCAGTGAAATCGGCGCATTTACAGTAAATAACCCGGGAAGTATACTGGCATCATGAATACGCTTAGCGTGGGCACACATGCAGCGTGTCTTTTATAAATGTCATATGGTCACCCCGCTTTTCGCTCCCACACCTTGAAGGAGCAGTAACAATTGTGTCCAATTGACTTTGACATAGTGTTACTGAGAGTTTTATGAGCATCTGATTTACAAAGTAACCACATGCCAAACACCAAAGGGGAACATTTCACAGTGGCGTTTTTACATTTAGAATTAACTTAGCTAAATATCCATTTCACAGGCGTGCAGATCTTCTTTCTGTTTCTCACTCGCTACAGACATCAGTTATGTTGGTTGTGTTAGAGAGTGGAAATATCTCACCTCAGTCACTTCAAAGGGACCGGGCTTAACCGTAGCTGAAGAAAAGGTTTTAATTGGTCGTTTGCAAAGTACATCTTTACATTCATTTGATTGGCTAACCAAAAATAGCCTGACATGACGCTTGATGATCACATGGTCAGTTTCCCCTACAGTGTTAATGTAGTCTGTGAGAACGATTTTTCATGAAGATCTAAACTCATTTGAAAACATTTGGTGTGTTTTCCGAGATATCTCTGGAGATTGGACACAAAATGAATTTGTTATATTTAGGAAGAGTGTAATCTTAATAGATAAGTAGACTATCTTAAGATGGCAATGTGCAAAATGGATGTGGTTTGAGGTTGTGAAGAGGAGGGACTCAGATCAGACAGCATCCTCTTGACTTTCCATTACTGTTTGATGCATCTAGCCTGTTAGTTCTTGACCGTTCTCTCTAGTGTTAGACGTGTTTTCATCAGTCAAAACCAGTACAATTCCAAAAGACACATTTTAGCCAAAAATGTAAACGTAGATTTTAGCTGAAAGTAACATCTTATTTATTTTGTCCAGACATTTGTTATATCATTTGTATAGATAAAGACACACTATGCTTAAATTGAAACGTGGAAAATGCTAGTTAGGTCATTTGAACCAATAACACTGTAAAAATATCATTTACTCAAGTATTCTTATATTCATTTATGATGCTCTTTATTTATTGTTTGCAATTTCACATACTGTTCATTGTATCCAGACTGACACTATCATATATCTTGCATATAATGTATTACATAATATCCTCTTTGTATTTGGAGCCATATTGCCCAGCCAAATGGGAAAAAGAAAATGTTGTTATTTAGTATTTTTATCTGAGAATACCCATGTTTTTGTATCTCTATCAACGACAAGAGTTCTGGAAATTGCATTTTTGACACATTTCCTAGAAAAGCCTGTCTTGGGGTCAAACTTGGGCAGATGAGTTTTGGGGAAATGAAACTGTGAAACTTAGCTGTGACCGATGACTAAAACTAAGTTTAATAGAATGACTTGAAAGCTTCAATCAAACCAGACTTCACATGAGCTAAGATATATATCTGGACCGTTGGAGTTATAGGTATGTGAACATTCTTTAACATCATCTTTGACAAGTCATTGGTGTTAACCCTTACCCTAGTTGCACAAAGGCCAGTCTTCCTGTGATCATGCGCTGCTCGAACTGTTGTTTCCACTGATGGAAACTTCTACTCTGTTGTTCACACCACCTTTACCGCAGGAGTGAAAAGTAAACGAAGAGGGGCGGCTTTAGATTGAAAGGTGCAACCAATGCTTCTGTTTCTGGCAAAGGAAGATATTAATAGACATAGTTTTTTTTATGAGCTTGCTTTGTATAAAGAAATGTATAGTCTTGGCAAATGGCATCTTAGAACATATTTCACATGTTCAATTCATTCAACATTATTTAATTCTGAACATAGTCAAGTGAAGTTCTCTTGCGATAGATTGACAGGAAGAATAGATGGTTTTGTACTTCAAACTTTCCTGCTTTTTACTCTAGAGTAGACACAAACACTTTCCACGTTGTCTTCATGGTGAGGTCGTTCTCTGGATCGGTTCAGACTCAGAGCAGCATAATGGAGAATGTCTGCATCTTGGCTCTGTTAGTGACAAAAAATACAAATTATGTGTGAAATATAGTCCTAGAACAAAGTAGATGTTTGGCTTCAGTTTTAAAGTTCACCTACCAAAGTATCAGAAGCTGAACACGCCTGATGAGAAACAGTTCCTGAAAATCAAAAATACACAACTGATCAAGCTAGGTCAAATCAGCTAACAATGTTTAAGAGCTTTTATTCGGAAAGTCCTACCTTTGCAGACGGTGCAAGACTTTGTTTTCAGCTTGTACATAATGTAAGCCAAGGCCAGGATCACAATAATGGAAACAGCCAATGCCAAACTGAGGCAATACACCAGCAGAAATCGTTGATTGGTTGAATCTCCTAACACATTTTGTGAAGAAAACATGTCATATGCCTTTTTTTGTATATCTATTTTGTTATAGAATATAAAATGGCAATATTCTTTGCAAAATATGCAATATAAGTTTAAATCACTTACTTAAAATCTCCACTCTGGTTCCATTTCCAAACACGATCTCCCCACAGGAGGCCAGCGCACAGTAATACATCCCTGCATCCGGAGAGCTCACAGACTTTAAAGCCAGTTTTAAAGTGCAATTTCTCATGCCATACCCTCCTTTAAGGATATGTTCACACTGTCCGGTACTGGGATACACGATTGCAGGCTGAGCCGCACCATGTCTGAACCAGTAGAGGCTCTGCTCCCCTTCACATACTGTAGCATACACTGAACAGCTCAAATTCACAGAGTCTCCCTCCCGAAGTGGCTCCAACGCTAGCTGATGGACGACCGCGTTGATGTTGGACTTTGATGCTTTGACATGAAGGAATGCTCCTTTTCCGAATTCAATTGCGTTGAATACTAAAACCCCACAGTAATAACTTGCTGAATCCAACAGGCGAAGATCTTTGATTGTGAGATCGTTGTTGCCTCCATTATGTTTTTCAAAGACGCCAAACCTTTCTTTATACCCGGGGGAGATGGTAGCATCTGAGTTCCGCATTCGAGTTGATATGATGACAGGTTTGCCTCCCAAGATTTGCTGGTACCAGGAAAGGAAAGTTACAGATTCGTCCTCGCAATTACATTTCAAAGTCACTTTCTGCCCAACGTTAGCTGTTATGATCCCACTATCCTGAGTCATACTTGAGTTTTTTCCTACAGCTGGCACCTGACCTGCATAAGAGAAATGCATAAAAGGATTATTAATCTGTCTTTTCAATCCAAATTAAATTCATGCACACGGAAAAAGTCAAAAAGGTTGTAAAAGACTCACAGATTTCACCAAGAAGCACAAGATAAATCCAAAGTAGCATCTTCCCTGAAGCTCTGCAGTTTGTGTCCTGTGTTGACGGACGCTCTCTTTACTCTTATAGGAGACGAAGGCTGTTTGTGATTGGCTGAACTCACTGGTTTGTTCTTTTGCAAAACGTTCCGATCAGGTGGCTATAGGTGTGTGAATCGTTGTTGCAGGACAGTAAATGTAACAACACCAACCTCCACACATACATTTGAAAATAAATTATATGTATTAATTTATTTTCAAATGTATGTGTGGAGGTTGGTGTTGTGTTCTTTTCACAACATGCACTGTGTTTTGAGGTTATTTGGAGCAATATTCTGTAATTTTCAGCCATGTCATTCTATTTGTTCAATTTAGATGTGCTTTTACGCTTTGTATGATTTCTTTCAAGATTAGATTTAGGGGATGTGTGTTGTTAAGGAAGTTGAAAGGCAGTGTGTGGGAGGTGATTTAACCCATTTTAGTGCTACTTTAAAGTTAATGTTGAATGCTTACAGTTAATGGCTGTGGTTATAGGTTGATATTTTTAGTTGTACCCATCATGCCAGTGAGGCCTGGTCAGATTTGGCAATAACCTTTATTAATGGGACAATAGCCTACGTACCCATTATCTCAAATCTTATTTAGAGGAAACCACACATGAAGATTTGCAACAAGATGCTCCGAGCCACTGTTTTTGTTAGGGATGCACGATAATTATCGGCCCGATATTAGGAATTATGACGTCATCCCGATAAACCCGATACCAGTATTAATACCATTGCATGTATGATATATGTGTAATGTGTATTTGTAAAGCGCTTTGAGCATCTGGAAAAGCGCTATAATAAATGTAAGTAATTATTATTATTATTAATAGCCCCGATAATATACAATATATTTTTTGGGTAAAAAAAAAGAAAAAAATACTGCGGTGTGGGTGGATTGGGATTAGGGGCGCTTGTTTTTCACTCAGCTCCTCCCGTTTTGCCAGTACTGTGGTATTAGTGGTTTAGGAAGAGGGGAGTTCTTCACAAATCCAGCGCTCCCTAACTCATGCCTGGTTGTGACGTAAATGGTGTTGCGGCCGTGAAGCCAGGACAGTAAACAAACATGTCGTCGGTGGTATGGGCGTTGGAGCTATGTGCAACTCAAGGCATATGCTCGAATCGGAGCTGCCTGGACGCTGCAATCATGTTGCGCACTATCCGTGCTGAGTGTGCTGACTTTTCGTACAATGTCTCACTGTCTGGCTTCCTGCATAAAGTCAAGTGCTCGGCGCAGTTGTGGCGAAATGTCGCTCCTCTGTTTTCATTTAAACAGCTCCTTATATCCGTTAGCGGAGCTAGCTAGCACCAGATGCTAACAACAACAATGCACGTAAGGTCTCTCTCTCGCTCGCTCGGGCCACACATACACACACCCTCCCGGTCCTCCAGATGGCCAGTCGGTGCCTGCCGGTGAGCGTGGAAGTGTGGTCTGCCACAAGCGGGCGGCAGGAGCGGGGCTGTCAGCATCAGCTTGTAGATGGTATTTTAAACTCGATGCGCTCTGAAACTACGGGGCGGCCAAGGAAAAAAAATACACATGCGTTAATCGCGTTAAAATAATTAGTGGCGTTCATTTTTTTTTATTATCGGTTTTCGGTATCGGTCTTGAGAAGCAGGAAGTTATCGGTATCGGTATCGGTTTCAAAAAACCAATATCGTGCATCCCTAGTTTTTGTACTTCTTTTTGTGTTTCTGATAGCAAATTATATATAACTCCATGTTGCATTTTGGCCCTCTAATTTATTTTATTTATTCAAAGGCGATGATGTGTTAATTGGGAAGTCAAGTTTTAAAAATACGTGTACCACCCTATGCTTCTCATTAGCATCTGCTGCACATGGGAACATGGTAAAACTGAGGAATGATTCCTATTTTATATTGGACTGTCTCCTTATTTTCGAAACACACAACTATCAGTGGTTTCAGGGCCGCCCCTCCCTACAGGCCAATCACGCAGGCTGCATGGGGCCTCGCCTTGCGCAGGGGGCCCCGCCCAGAGGGCCTCAGCTGCTGTGCGCAGTTCTCCACTCAGTTCTCCGCTCAGTTCTCCGCTCAGTTCTCCGCGCATCCCCAGTGAGAGTGAGAGGTGACAAGGGGAGCACGTCTATAACCCGACACCGTTGCAATGAATCGACATCTGACCAATCACGGCTTTGATACGGCCACTAGTGCAGGTGAAGAGATGTCGGTGAAAAGACAGTTTCAGTCCGGCGCATGTAAGAGGGAAAGAAAAAAAACATGAAGAAACTAGAGCATCACTCGAAGGTGGGTTATTGTATGAGTGAAATGTACAACTTGCTAATGTTGTATAAGTCAAATGTCATGTTGCCAATTGTCATATTAAAACATCAGCTGCAATTCACGACATGAAGAAGGCAGTCTCTGCAGAGCATATAGGCTAATGGAGATGCAGTTATTTCCAGCATTCTTTATTTACCATTCATTCAAGTATGTGATGCCTTTTATCTGCTAATGTACAGGAGGAAGAGTGATACACTGTCTGTCTAGTTGGCTTACATAACAGTTAAAGTTTACAGCCTAAAAAACATGAAGCATTTTTTCCCCTTTTATTCATTTTTATGTCAATTTGCACATTTCATGGTGATGCTCAGCCTCTCCCCTTAACTCCTAACAGTCATCATCATGTCAACCACGACACAGACAAATACTGATAGAAATGTGTGTGTAGTTGTTGACACATTGCTGACAGAGGGAACTACGTTTGAATACAGATTTAAGAAGTATCAGTTTTTGAGCATGTCATAAGCATGTTTTGTCTTGACTATATTACAACTATATTATAATAAAATAATATAGTATTTATATTATTGAATTGATTATGATAGTAGAAGTAGTTTATTTGCATTAATTATATTTTAATCTTTTTGAGGCTAGTATTTGGCAGGAAATGCAGACGTATTCACCTGTAAACGCATACTGAACGACATACATGCACATTTACCATTTACCTCACTGTATAAAAAAGTAACTGTGTTGATAATAATAATAAACAGGAATTATATTTGCAAAGTAGCCTACTTTGTTTCCAAAACATTTTTTTTCACTCCTGTCGGTTGTGGGGGGGGGGGGGCTCATCTCACAATGTTGCTTGGGGCCCCAAGTTGGCCAGGGGCGGCCCTGAGTGGTTTACTTAGAGAAGCAGCCATTATGTCTTTAAGTGTGCATTGTACTCGGAAAGTCAAAGCTAGTTAGCCTAGCTTTGGTTCCCACTAGTTGTTCACTTTTGTAAATGTGTTTCAACATCTGAGTCTCTGGCTTATAGCTGTGTTCATTCCACATTTAGAAAATAGTTTTGCCGGATAACGCGAACATTTGTACCGAATTATAGAGCATAGCAGTTTACACTGACAGATGTATTGTCGTGGCCCAAACAGCTGTTGGTTTCCCCCCATTTTAGTAAGGTACAATCAACTTGCAATTCCCATAAGAGCAACTTTCTCGTGCGCACGAGATACAAACCTGTTATCCTGACATTTGTTTTTCTGTCTCTGTTTTTTATTTTTATTTTTTCCATGTCCCTTTACGTCTCCGTATTTCTTTATATTTATCCAAATGTATGTATCAAGACAACCTTTAGTTAGAATAAAATAACACGTGTTTGTAGAAAAGAGAAAGTAAAGGCTACCGACAATAACTTCTTCTTCTTCTTCTTCTTCTTCTTCTTCTTCTTCTTCTTCTTCTTCTTCTTCTTCTTCTTCTTCTTCTTCTTCTTCTTCTTCTTCTTCTTCTTCTTCTTCTCTTCTTCTTCTTCTTCTTCTTCTTCTTCTTCTTCTTCTTCTTCTTCTTCTTCTTCTTCTTCTTCTTCTTCTTCTTCTTCTTCTTCTTCTTCTTCTTCTTCTTCTTCTTCTTCTTCTTCTTCTTCTTCATGACCTTTAAGTTAGATGTATCAGTGCCTTTTCATCTGTATCTATTTATTTGTATGAACTGTGGCTGTAAGTATTGTACATGAGAAGTAAGAAGCAAAGGCGTCATTGTGAAGCAACTTGAACAAACAAACAGGCTCACGAATACAACCACATTTCCTGTCGGGAGGGGAGGGCAAAAAAAAAAACTTAGATTGAACTTGATGTGATCGAGCTGACCAGAGCGGGAACTTTCTTTTATTTTCTTCTCTTTTTTCTCAGTGAGTAGCAGTAATTAGAAACGCATCACTAAATGTATGGGTGTTTGAGACAAAAAAGTCAAAGGTTGGACAAAATGGAAAACTTCTATTGAAGTTCTAAACTTAGTAATTATAATGTAATTAATAATCATTACGCATAGTTAGATAATTAAAAGCTTGAGGACATTTGGCAGCTGAAATTCAAAACGAAATGTTTATTTTGACCAAACTTATCTTCTAAAAACCATCACAGTGAGGATTTCTGATTGCATAGTGACTCAACGTGTTGCTGTCATGTTAAATATGGTGCACTGGGTCTAAACAAAAAGTATGACTGGTTACCAAAACAATAACTCTAAATATATCAGTCTGTGGGGGGAACACACACAAATCAATGTGTCTTTGAAAATGCACTGTCTTAAATAACATAACTTTCAGATCTTATCTATCTTGTGGTCACGCCGATCTTTAACTGTTGTTTGACCAGATAAGCAACATGGTGGAACAGTGTAAGAACCATACAGTAGGAGGAATACTGCTCCCTACCGACCAAAAGCTTAACTGCATACATCAAACTGAAATGAAGCAACAGGCCTAATGTTGAATTTAACCGTGGAATCCACCGAGTTTAGTTAAAATGTAAAAACATCTGAGGAAAAAGTTGGATAATGTCTTCTGTCACTCTGGAGCTTTTCAAAGTCTGAAAGAAATACAACGGGGTCTTAAAGTTTCAGTATTTCCGACTGTTGTTTCACATTGACTGTAATTTCTGTCTCTAACTTTTCTGCACCCTAACTTTAGCCACATTCAGAGATTTAAACAGGATAAGACCAACTCAAGTCATTGAAGACCAACTATTAT